TTAAACATCTAATTTCCTAGATCTAATTGAAGAAACATCTTACTAAGAATAACAGAATAAACTGTACAATAAATTTACGTAAATCTAGTGTTAAGAAAGTTTGTTATTTTTCATGTGTGAAAGCATTGCAGAAAAGAACGATTTATGTAGTCCCAGATTCTTAAAATTTGAAATTCAACGATATTCTCTCCTATATTTTGTAAGTTAGTTATTATTGAACTTCTAATGTGTATAGATTTATATTTTACTAGAATTTTCAGAAAGGTAAAATTGAAAATCGAATCAAACGTAACACAGTTAATTTTTCAAATACGAAATTTATTTCTAAAGAAAGTAAAGTTCTTTGTAATTCCACATTCTTCAAATTTAGCAACGCAAATAGGATAGTACATAAATATGACGAATCCACAGTCCATTTATCACTTCTAACTTCAATCTATCCATGAACCTTTTTTCATTTCACCCCTTGCTGTACCATTTTGTTCGCGATCATGCGCATCAGATTTATTTCATTCATAAGAATTCGCGGAAACTCGAAGAAATTTATTATTTATTGTAAGTATACGCTCGCTCCAAGGATAAATAATAATATAAAAACAGTTTTTAACTTGAATTTACATGCGACGAATAACACTAATTCATATTAAACTGAACTAGAAATCTTTGCCACGCTCATCATTACACGGCAAGAGGTTAAAATTGCAAAGTATTGAATACTCCTAAATAATGCGATTTTCCTGCATCTCTTTTATATCGAAAAATGAAGACAAACAAAACTTTCGATCTAATTATAATCTGCAGTTATGTTTATAGATAATGAATCTATAGATACTAAAGAACATACTTCAAACCGAAATAAGCCTCCTTCATCTAAATTTTGAACATTAAAAGAAACAATGTTCAATTTATGGGTTGACCCGACAATTAATGAGAGAAGAAGAGAGTAATTAGGGGACGCATAGGATAAAGGAATTTCCGAGTTGCTCGGCTCGCGAAAGGAACCGTCAAATCCGGCAGATAGCAGCGGCTGAAAGCGCGGTCCGCTCGGTGATCCATTATTCAACGGTCGGATCCGAACTCACGGTGGCTGCGCGACGTACGCGCAATATGTGACGCGGCATCACTGAGAATCCGTAATAATTTGCCGGAATGGCGACTGTACTTAACATGACGGCTGATTCTAGCGGCGATGGGGAGATCGGTTAGCAGTGGAGCGGCGGACATATTAATTTCGCGGAGAGGAGCGGAACGTGGGGTAAGTAGCGAAGACGTTCCACGAGCTGCTCCCTCGCGCGCACTGCATATATTGTATAGAGCCTATTAAAGTCTATACCTATATTATCTAGAGGCTGTGTGATTAATTAGTTTACGACTCGGAGCCAGCCACGGCGTTAATTGTTCGGGATTTCTTTTTTCTTAACGATCGTTCATCCTTTTTCTTTACTTTTATGCATTTAATAAGATCATTGAGAGATATATCACTGAATTAGGAAATATCGACGATATATTTGATCGGATTTTATTTCGTACGAGAAATTAGGATTGTTCTAATGTCAATGTTAATATTATATGAGGTAGTTTTTAGATGTATGTGACGATTAGTGATAGATTAGGTAAAAATCAATGAAATTCTTGCGTTCACGAAACGCAATCGTATTTAACGTTAAATATTGATTACTATGTGCTTGTGACAAAAGTAGATATGCAATTCTTCTTTTAGTTGACGTACAACTTTACGGATTAGTGAGCTGTGCAACGTCCGTAAAAAAGGGATTACATTTTAGCTAACAAAGGGTTCCTTTAAAAAGAGTAATACGAAGTTTTCTCCTTGTGACATTAAGGTTTCGTTAAAGATAAAGTTGTATTATTAATCATTGAATTCGACAATGATTTTTATTGTTAAGTAACCAAACGAGATATAGAATGTATACCGTGAATTTTAGAAAGCGAGAATTGTCACTGATCCTCTTATTTTACAGTTATAGGATCATTCTTACCGTTTCACGTGATTGAATAATCAATAAAAGAATTAAATTTATTAAAAATCTTAAATGAAATTGTGAGTAATCTTTTAGAGAAAATAGAAATAGAAATAAGTATACTAGAAGTATACGAGTATACTAAGATAACAGAGCAATGATAATGTTTATTACATAAACAGTCAATTATCTGTCGAGTACAGTGCACTCCAAATTCTGCGATATATCACTTTTCAACCCTCTCTTTATTTTACATTGAACATGTAATTCTCTATTGAACTTATGTACCAAAGCAAAAAGCATCGAACGTAACGCCGTGGCCCTAGCAGCTTCTGAAATGATGGCTATGGCTTATGTATATGCAATTAATGTTTCTGCTTTTTCACAATTCATGTAGAAAATGTGCGAGCGAACGCGCGCGAGCCGGCCAGCGGTGTGGAATTTCCCTGTTAATCCGTGAAACGGGAACGTTGTCAAACAAATTCATTTTATCCATTGATAATCGTTCATCAAATGCTGGACGACTCGCGTAGAAGAACGTTATCTACGGTCAGGATCGAAAAGTTTCTGTGGGAGGAATACAAATATATATCATATACGATGCACGTGATATGATATATATGTATGTATACATACGTAACTATTATCATGTATAAATATATACAGAAACGAAAAGAAAAGTAAAATATACGAGTACAATACGTTCTAGATAGAATACTGTGTTGTTGGATTCAAGAAAACGCATGCACTTTCGAACACTTTCATTACATATACGTATATAATATGTAAATATATATATATACATATAGATTATATTTTGTGTCTAAGGTGTGTCATGTGTGTATGCGCGCGCAAGCGCGATTGTGTGGGCATAGAGCTGTGTTAAATGCAATTGAAGAATACGAAGCAATACTGGGATAATGTCTACGTACCCTGGTCGTCTTAAATCTATTATCTCGGAATCAGAAAAACTTCATGTGAAAAAGAAAGAGAACGTACGTAATTTGAATTTACGCATCGTACAACGTGTGTACGTTTAGCCGGCGTCGGTTTCTGAAACATTCTCAAAATTTTTAATTCTTCTCTTCAGAGCTTCTACGAGTCTTCGTCCCTTGATTTTGTTTCATTCTTTATCTCTTTATTATTAATCGGTACACGTTGAAACATTAGTTAACGTTTTAATATTTTTACGAAAATCCCGTGTATTTATTACATTTTATTTTTATATTTTATTAACCGTCTTCTTTGACTCGTACCGATGCGTCGCGGGTTCATTTGCGATCTTACGCGAAAAACGAGGTAACATGATACCACGACGCGACGGAACAAATAGTTCTCCATGCGACTTCCGGTGCAGCAGTCCGGAGCTAATTTGGATAACGACTGACCGGTGAAATATTGATGACCCGAATTCGGATACGAGCTTTAAAGTCCGACACTGCAGCGTCCGGGGTGGGTGCAGCCCAGTGTATTTGTAACTCGGATGCATCGGATTACGCGCGAGTATTGCGTGTACCGCGAATTAGCTCGATTCTGTTGGTATCGAGCGACGCGCTCATAAAAATACTATACACGCAGCTCACTCGTTGAATGTGCTCCAGTTTGACGTTTAATGCTTCTACGATTCCATAATTTCCAATCGGTGGTCTAATGAATGTTGGATACAGTAGGCGTGGGAAATTTGTAATTTTAGAACAATATTGTTAAGAAGATTCAATTGACGTTGTATTTATTTTTTAAGAGGTAACGTTTTGGATAAGACTTCCTACAAAAAGAAATTTTGAATTATATTTTTTAATTAGAAATTAGATGTCAGATATTTAAAATTGGAAAT